ATTTCTTATATTTTTCCTTCTACCCTGAAGATGGAGGCGATACGTTCCTCCGAAACGTCGGTTAACACCACATATACACGGTGCCAAATCCCAGAAACCTGCTTTCTTCATAGTCACCGCCGTGAAGGCCTCAAATCTTATAAAATCCATCTGATTTCTCTTGAACGTAAATAAGAAGTTACCAGACATATGCAGTACCATAGCACTCTTCCTAGATTTAACAGGAGCCAAGCTAGCTCAGTCAATATAGTGATTAGGTAATGGGATGAAGGTCTAGGTAGCAGCAGGGATCCTTCTGCTCTTTATAGTGTCAAGACGGAAGGTAGACCACCCTCCCAACCAATGGCTAATGGGAACCGTTCAAAGCGACCGGAGGGTGAAACTAACAACTAGCCATCATATAATGGCTAGATAAAAAAAATGATAGGAGCTTTCCCTCCACTCCATTGTAAATTTTCATGTGATGGTTCCTAATTGAACACAGGAGCAGCTTCAACTTTATTTCAGTGGGTAATATTTGAGATCATACAATGGTTTACTCTAGAGCGACAAGAACCAACGCAGTTTACATTTTATCGCACGATATTCTGTCATAAGTCCACGCGTGTTCCACATGGACTCTTCTGAAGATGACCCTAAACACTTCTTAAGTTCAGTAGCTGGAGTAAATTGCATATTGTGGAGCTTCATAAGTTTTAACATTCACCGAATATAATTAGGGTGATCAAATCTAGGATTATGAGATGGGTAGGACATGTAGCCTGCAGGTAAGGGATATGAGAAAAATGTTGGATACTTGTTGGAAAATGGGACGGTATGGAGTACCTACCTATGTGCAGCTACGGGCTGCAAGTACGGGGTTCGATTCCCAGCATGTGTAAGAGATTTTTCTGTAAAACAGCGTCCAGACCGACTTTGGGGCCACCAGCCTCTTATCCGATGGGTACTGAGCGTGTAAGGCGCCTACCACGTAGGGAAGCTGACCTACACATAGTAACCTACACATAGTGCCGAGGTCAAGACTGGTGGAGTTATACCTCCACTTCCCACATGTCTTCATGATGTGGTACTTAATTAATTAAGCACGGGAACAAATTTACCTTTACCTGCTGTAATTATGTATTGATTGAGACGTTGCGTTACCATTATACAAGTCGTCAAACATAATCCTTTATTACAACAATTTGTTTCGACTACTATGCAGTGATCTACTTAACCATATACTAAAGAATCTTCTATGAAGGGAAGGGAACATTTTGGGCTCCTAAAAATAACACAGGAATAAGATGATAATAATAGAATGGATCTTAAAATAATAGGATGTGGGGGTGTGGACCAAATTCATCTGGCTCAGGGTAAGTCTATCGATGGGCTGTTGGAAACACGGCTATGAACCCGCTGCGTTCCATTCAAGGTGGATCATTTCTTGACCAGCTGAGCGACTATTAGTGTCTCAGGAAGCCATCTGCTCCATGTAGTTAGATACATAAAAATACGGCAATAAAATAATTTTAAAACGCTCAAAAGTTTGTGTAGTTTTGTGACCAAATCTGTGAGCTTTCATTCCACGTGCCCCTTGGTCCAACACGTCACAAATGTGCAGACGAAGAGACGTTTCGGTAAGAATGGCATATCACTAATTATTCAAAGAAACCAAAATTCACTGAGGTTGTTATTTACTAACAGGGGCCAGAGTAGGTTAGTCGGTAGAACAACTAGGGCGATCGGGGTTCGATTCCCCACAGTGGAAATATATCTTCTCTTATCCATAGACTCCCGACAGTCTCTGGGTCCCACCTCCTATGCAATGAGTACAGGGGGCTGTTCCCCTGGAAGCAATACGGCAGAGACGTGAAGATGACCACTCACCTCCATCTATGGCCACGGGTAAAAATGGTGGAGCCATATCTGCCCTTCCCCATACGACTTCATGGCATAGTGCTAAGTGATATAATTAAGTACAGCTGTAACGTTGACGGGGTTTATCTTCTGGAATATAATGTTCTGTAGTCCGTTGAAAGTCAACCAACGTTTCGGAAGGACATTTCGCCTCTATCTTCAGCGTCGAAGAATAAACCAAGCAAGACACCAAAGTGAAGCAAGTACCAAGCAACGACGTCGGTTGACTTCAAACGGTCTACACTACATTATATCCCAGAGGATAGAACTCTTCATAACCACGGCTGTGAGAACCTCAGATCCTACACAGCGCTATATCCCAGGAAACAGAACCCTTCATAACCACCGCTGTCAGAACCTCAGATCCTACATAGCACTATATCCCAGAACTCTTCATAACCTCCGCTGTGAGAATCTCAGATCCTACAGGGACAACTTTAATTACTTAGTAACTTGGCTTGGTACTGCATGTAGTAGAACACATCAGACGTCGCTTTCCTATCTCAAGGTTACACCAATTAAAATTATACTTATTCTACTTTAATCCCTCCAGAAAACTATGCCATACCGTCACCTGTAGGGGGGTACGCGTGACCAATAATCGTGGAATCTAGATTTGACGATTAGGTTTATTTGACATCACTATTACAATCATACGCGGTTATAACAGTTCACACAGTCAACTCTTTCTCGGTCATGAATACGAGTACCTCGCTGTTGTCTGCATATTGCTCCTCTGTTCTTCGGTGCTCTCCCTTATTCTGGGTCTCCTTCCGACTTCACTTCTCAACTGACGGCTTCTCAGCTGGTCTCCTTTTTATCCTTGCTAGGCGGCTGGGATAGGAATCACCTTCTTCAAGAGTTCTGTTTTAGAAGTCGTTACTGTACAACCTATGATACGTTGCTGTGGTTAGGAGCTTCCAACAGTGAAACAGTGAACCATAGTAATTAGAACCGTTGCGTAGCAATTCACGCCTATTATTCTAATGACTGGTAATACGTTAGTTCAGCCGTTGGCTGGCAATGGTTCCGACTCCGATACTCCGGCCTAAAGCCGCGCGTCATAATACTAACAACACTGACCTTTAATGTGATGTATGTTAGGACTCTCAAGAATTAGACCGCGTTGGTTTAATAATATTGCATCCAGGTCCTAGACCCTTAGTGATATTTCAAACAATTTTATTTTTTCACGGTGAGAAGATTTTAGCCTCAGGCCCAACCTCTAAACTGGAAGACCACCCCTTGTCAGCACTACGCGACTGTCTATTCAATATATTAACAGCTTCCCTCCAAAACTGATGGCCGTCTCCTCCATCCGCAACCTGAGGAGGCGCCATGCCGTGGTGACAAGGGCACCACCTAACATGGAATGCATATGGGAGAAGGGTGGGAAAGCCAGAAGGAAAGAGGCCTCTAGGATGACCAAGACGTAGGTGGGTGGATAATATTAAAATGGATCTTAGATAAATAGGATGGGGTGCTATGGACGGGATTGATCTGGCTCAGTGTAGGGACTAGTGGAGGGCTCTTTTGAACACGGTAATGAACCTTCGAGTTTCATTAAATACTGGGAAGTTCGTGAATAGCTGCGCAACTGGTAGTTTCGCAAGAAGGCCTCAGATCCATGCAATTAGTTAGGTTTAAGAATATTGTTGATCTTTGTAATGTCCCTATTCAAGGAACTTTCTGGAGACGACTGCACCGAAGCTACTGTGAACCATAAGTGAGGGTTTCTTATAAATTTCAACAGTCGCTTGATTAGGGCCTGAAATATAACAGATCTAACAGATCCCTACAACCCGTCGAGCTCCTCCCTATCCCCTCTATACCTGAGGCATCCAGAAGGAAACAATCGCAAATTCTTTAGATGAATGTATCCGAAACAAATAATTTCACGTCAATTTGACCAAAATAAAAGAACTTGTAAAATCCCGTGACTGCTCAAAAACACCTTTATATTTTGAAAAATACTCTTTTCAGAAATGTGATGCCGTCTAGTCCTGTACAAATACACCGACGTTTTGGAGGAACGTACTGCTGTTACCTTCAAATACGAAGAATAATTCAAACAAGCAACTTCACGAAGCAAGCTGCTTCGCTTACTAAGACACTGAAGAAAACGGAGGTACTTTCCTCCGAAACTTTAGTGAACTTCTACCAGGCTAGACTGTCTTATATCCCATAAGTTAGTGCTCCTCATTTTTGCCGCCATAAGAACCCAAAATCGAACAAAAGTTTAAGATTTTTTCTTTTACACATCTCTACATCAGCCGATATAAGTTACCATTTCACGATTTCAGCACATCTCTTCATCAGCCGCTTGACTTCTCATTCTACAGCTAAAGATGACGCCATAATTCTGTTCACAATAAACTTCATCCAGCAGAATCTTGCTTCGGAAGCTAATAGTCGCTCATCTTGTCAACAAATGATATATTTTATTATGGGACACACCATTTGAATATTCTCTTAACAAAAACTCGGAACTGGTTTCAATCTTGAGCTAGCTAAATCCGACCCACATTGTCATAACCTGTTCCTCTTGCGACCCTCACGTCCCTCCAACTACACCTAGGCCTTCCATGCGGTACCTTATCCTCAGGCTGTCCGACTCGCATTGTGTTTGCAATTTGCCACTTCTAAAAAATACCCCACCCATCTTATCCTCTCCGATATTACGACCCTAAAGATATTTGATAAAGAAAAAACAAATTATGAAGCTCCCAATACAGTTCTCTCCAATTACATGTTCCGTTTTCATATGACCAAATTTTCTGCAAATATTCAAAGCATCTAATATATATTTTTCAGTAAAATTAACGTGAGACACAAAGTTTCACGTCCATGCAGTATAAGAAGCAAAATTGTANCTTAAAAACCGGGACGATGGATAAAGTCCAAAAACCCAATATATCAAAATTGTAGTGGTTTTGCCGATAAGAATTAAACATGAAATCAAATACACTAGCCATGAAATATTCCACATTGAACAACGTCCTTAATTTTAAGGTCTACTAAAGCTGAGGATGGAGTATGGTGGGCGCCAACCTACTGATAATTTTAATTTGTCAAGTAAAGAATGTGCATTCTGTTTGCAGCACTGTGACGTCCCATCAGAATGACTATGGATATTAACATCCAGCAGCGCGTACGTGTCGAGACCAGTACGGCCCTGATAAACAGCAGCAGCAGCCCTACCAGTAACAGTGCACGGAGTTCTGTGTCACCCGACAGCAACCGCTCCCCCGTACCACCAAACACACCCTCATACTCCCCTAACCTGCCCACCACGACCACTACAATCACCCCTCGAAGCATCAAGCGCAGCTTTGACGTCGCATTCCTTATGGCTCCTGATGAGAACTTGGCGAGGAAGCAGTTACAACAGGAGAAGCAACTCAGATTGGTGTCTACAGGCTGTCTGATGAACCGTACCTCACCGGTACCGACACACAACACATCGCCACGCTCATCTGTATCACCGCACAACATGGTACTCAACAGCCACAATCCACTGTTAGGTGGCGTTACGGAATCCATTGTACCAAGGGCATATGCGGAGCATGCGCTGTTAGGAGATATGACCGACTCTGCAGTGAGAAACAGCAGTCAAACTGCTGTTGGAACTGAGGTTACTCCAAGGCAGCATGGTCAGAGAATTATGATAAGTACACACCAAAGTAAGGTTGGATTGTTTGAACATTCAGGCCTCTTAGTTCCAAAAACGGTTTATAATCATGAAGATCTTATGGACAGAGTCAGTAAAAGTCAAATTAGCGGGAGTAAAAGTCAAGATTTTAATCTTATCAACATGACCACTTCAAGATCTAGTTTCCATCATGACGATGTTTTAGAAACATGTGGCAAAGGCCAAACGGACAACGATAGGAACCAAAATTCTGCAAGCAACACGTCAACAGGCGTAATGATCAGAAGCGCCTTTACTAAAGTCACAACTTCATCGACAAAATTTGACGCTAGTAACCTTTTAAATGTACCATTACCGACGTCTCCATCGTCCATGTCCTCCACATCCGGGGGTCTTTCCCCAGATCACACAACTTATCAAGAGAGTATGAGCCCTCCCAGCATGGGAGCTGGTTCAACATTGTCCCCAATCCCACCACATTTTATGCATTCAAGCTCAAAACAGTTCCAAAGTTCCATACCGTTACTATCACCCAATCACCACCTCTCACCCAAGTCTCTGACAGGTTCATCGCCTTCAGGAGGAAAGACGCTGACGTCATATTCATCAGCAGCATTTCTGCTTCAGCAAGAAAGTAACAGCCTGAAGAGTATCAAAGCTAGCAACGGCCTCTGCAGCGGTGGAACTCCTCTGGGATCTAACAACGGGAACTTCCGAAACGACATCGACAGTTATCTGATGAAGGCATCCATAACAGCCAGCAACCAGCATCACCATCTGTACAGCGCTAATGAAAAGGAACTGCTGCCTGGGTTTCCCAACACTGGGTCCAAGTTACGACCTGCCAGCCTGCTCTATCACCATCCAGAGTCCGTTGCGGCATACTCCACGCTGGCAGCGGCCGCCTATCCATTCGCTGCAAATTTTTCCACGACGGCCGCCGAACTTCTGGTCACACGTGCCCCCCCACCAAGCATCCTGACGGCGGCGGCAAACCCTGCAGCGGCAGCAGCAGCAGCTGTAGTGTCAGCGTCGCTTTTACCCCCATCCTTCGCCGCTTTGTCACTACCAGCGCAAAACGTATGTGCGAAGTGTAACATTAGCTTCCGCATGACTTCGGATCTGGTTTACCACATGAGGTCGCACCACAAGGGCGACCATATTAACAGTGACATTATGAGGAGAAGAAGGGACCAGGAGAAACTGAAGTGTCCGGTATGCAGTGAGAGCTTCAGGGAGAGACACCACCTTACAAGACATATGACGGCGCACCAGGACAAGGAGGGAGACATGGTGGAAGAAGCGGATGATGGGCACAGGAACGACGCCGGAGTGGAGGCTGGAGGAAGACGGAGAATAACAACTTCGGCGATGATGGTAGCAGGGCATAACGCTGTAGCTAAATGACAGAGACCACTGCAAAGACGTCATCAGCAACAGACAAAGAAGTTATTAGGGACGCCTTTAAACCAACAGAATTTGTATGTTCTGGGAAATTACAGTCAACAGAGCCAGTTATAAACATACTCTTGCATTAACGACACGACACAGAATAATGTGCAGATGATAATCTTTCGCATTTGTGCAAGAAAACCCGGGAAACAGAGCGCGTAGGATCGTATGGGTTTTCTTGACATGAATGCGTAATTATGAATATAGAGACGGTCTCGGAAAGGCTGGACTTTTGCTCCGAATTGGCGCGGATGATGGATAGGGAGGATTTTATTGCTCTCAGTCGCCATGGCAGCTTCAGGTCTTGTATTAATATTTCTTCCCTTCAACTTCAAACACATATTACACTCATAAGTATACGTTGACTGTCATCACAGTACAGTCTTGAGGTCAGCGACAATCGATCTGAGGGCAGTTTTATTGTTTAACCTAAGAGATTTCTTTCGATATTTAGCGTGGGACAACGTTCTGATTAAGCGCGGGAGGCTGGAAGTTAATATCCGCCCTACTGGAGGGATAGGCCTACTACAGTCATATCAAAATAATTCATTGTAGGAAAATGTGTTAATGAAGCAAAATTCATAATGGCGTTGCAAACGCAAATTTAATTCGTTAGCCTTCATATTGTCTGGGGATATAATTTAATGGCCTGAGATGCAAATTCGTCAAGTCAGCTTTCGTAATAATCAAAGTACGTTTACTACAGTATTCAAAGTACACTAAATAATCGAGTACTAGAAATCCGACAAAAATGTGTCATCGAAGAAACTTTTGCAACCATTAAGCATTAAAGTAAAATTGGGATTCTCAAATACATTTGCAAGGAAGTCCGGGTGTGTCTGTCCCGGAGTGGACGGTAGTGCAGCATGAAAATACACAAGGTTCGCTTTACTCATAATTAAACCTAGAAGGATAATCCTACATCTAATTAATGTCCTAAGGATATTGTGTAAGCTAGAATGGTGTCTACTAGGTCCTTTCTTACGCAATTGCAATTGCGCAACAAATGTAAACGGTAAATATGGAAACCTTACATTTGCTACGGACCCCAGAACTTTAACTAAATCAGTTAATAGATTTGTTTTCCTTACCTCTGGGATCGGATAACATATTTGGTATAGCGACGGACTACGGCTGGGACGGCTTACGTTCGATTCCCGGTAGGGGTACGAAATTTTTCTGTATAGCACAGTGCCCACGTGTACTCCAGAACCCACAGAACTTCCTATTCAGTGGGTACAAGGGGTCTCTTTCCACGGGGCTAAAGCGGCCGGTACGTAAACTGACCAATCACCTCCCTCTAATGCCGAGTTTAAGAACGACCTCTGTGGCATAGCGCTTAGTAAATTAAGCCTAGGGATAAGCTTTTCTTATCACTATGTACTTCCAAACCCCTCGATTAACGTGTAATCGAAAATGTTGGCACTCCTCAACACTGGCCAGACTTTCGTTTCACAGGACGTAAATCAGCACACACATCGCGATCAGAATAGAAATAGGAAATTGTGAGATCTACAGGTCTCACGGATGTTAATGCTATGGACACTGTTCTTTGTTTCTGCTGCAGTGTAATTTATGGGTATCTACCATCCAAACTACACTGCGTTACATTACTGAAGACCGTAATCTTCAATTAAGAAATTATTGTAAAAACTTGAAGCTTCTCCTGGGCACCCAAACACCCTTCGGAGAGAACCGTGGCACATCTGTGCATGCGATTGGCTGTTCCTGTTCTAACCCCACAGCAAACTTACATTTTGTAATGTACTGCCTAGGTGGCGTGTGATCCAGTTTTATCTATAAATGATCCACGGGGAAGAACAACAAGTTTCCAGCTACCGTTATAAATAAAATACTTACTCTGAAAGGTTCGAAAATAATTATTTACAAGCAAGGCGCAAATGCAAGATAAATACTACAAATATATAAAATTCGCAGCAACCTTATTACATCGCTTATTATATTGCACAGTATAATTGTATAAGATTTGAGGCTTTCACGGCGGTGACTATGAAGAAAGCAGTCTTCTGGGATTTGGCACCGTGTATATGTGGTGTTAACCGACGTTTCGGAGGAACGTATCGCCTCCTATACATTTTCTTCTACCCTGAAGATGAAGGCGATACGTTCCTCCGAAACGTCGGTTAACACCACATATACACGGTGCCAAATCCCAGAAGACTGCTTTCTTAATATAATTATAGCTTGATATTAAAAAATATTGATTGTATAACCAGAAATATATCAGAACTGAACAAAGGCTATATTTGCGTCAAAATAACAAGTATTGACATAATGAAGATAAAATTTGTATTAGTTTTATTTGCTCTTATGATGTAAAAATACAATAACGTTGTCTCCGTCATGCTGAGAATAAATATTTTGTTGAAGATTGCCGTCTTCTGGGATGTGGCTCCGCGTAGATCTTGTGTGAACCGACGTTTCAGAGGTGATACGTTCCTCCGAAACGTCGGTTCACACAAGATCTACATGGCGCCACATCCAAGAAGACAGCATTCTTCATAGTCACCGCTGTGAAAACCTCAAATCTAAAAATATTTTGTTGTACATATCTATAAGCCTATAGATTTAAAAATGTTAATTATCACACTACTGATCATGGAGCACAGTACTTGAGAATCTAATAGTCGCACAGCTTATTAAGAAATTCCCTTTTATTTATGAAAACCGAAGGTTCATTGCCATTCGTGTAATTGGTCCATATCCTGACTCAGATAAATCTTGTCCACGGCCTCGTATCCTATTTCTTTAAGATCTATTTTAATGTTACCTTCCAGTTTGTGTTAACATCTAGCATGTGAGCTATTTCCTACATGATATGTGTATTTGGTATCTCAGCTTATACATTTCATCCATGTGAAAATATGTAATAATCTGTAAGCAGTTTAGGGCATCTCTCACTGTGACATAACATTTTAAAAATATTTACGTATCTGAAAATTTTCATAATCCGATAAGTACTTTAATGACAGGTAAATAAATCTAGAACAGATCCCTCAGAGAGAGCGAGCCCTTCCCACAGCTCCTTGTCATATTCCCTGTGACACCTCCGGTTCTGAACTGAGCAATTTAAAATGAAAAATTTACTCACGAACCAGAACACCACGCCACAAATATGCATAGCTCGCGTATATTCCTACGAAGTATGAAACCGTCGTGCCATATGGCGGTTATAACACGAGAAGGAACACTCGCAGATCAAAACTCAAACTAAGAATCATGTCACCGATAAGTGGACTTGCCAAGATCTAACGACAGACGATTTTTGCAACAAATCGAAATAAAAAACAGAGATAGCAAATATGAGGTAGAGGAGGAAATATATAACATATTCTTGGATTTCTTAACAACGCTGTTACATAGGGTAAAATGGGGTTGATAAATATATATTCGCCGGTCACGGTGGCCGAGCGGTCTAAGGCATGTACTGTCTTCGCTCGCTTGGAAACCGGGATCATGGGTTCGAATCCCACTCAGGGCATGGATTTTTAGTTTGTGTGTGTGCGTTTCTCTGTGTTTGTGTACAGGTAGAGTCCTTGTGACGAGCTGATCACACGCCCAAGGCGTCCTACCGAATGTGTAAGATCTAGAAAATCCGAAGTGAACGGAGAAATTCATGGAGGTAGGCCTAGGTCCACTGGGGCTGTAGTGACAAGGAATATATATATATTCGAGGTGAGTAGGCATGAATTTGGAAGGAAATGAACTGTTTTACAAATAAGAGAATATATTCAGCCACTAAGCTAATTATCCTTTTGTCGGATGAAATGAAGGTTAACACCAGAGACTTTCATGAAATAAATTAAGTGGACTGGCAGGGCATTCGTCCACCGTGAACAGAGACGAGATGCAGCCTTGTAGCACAGCAACTTTTCACGTCCATTTCCTCTTCCTGCGGCACAAATAACTAATTTTTTTTTCCTTGGCACTACAGCCCCAGTGGGCCTAGGCTTACCTCCATGAACTTCTCCGTTCACTTCGGTGTTTCAAGATCTTAAACATTCGGTAGGACTCCTTGGGCGGCTGATCAGCCCGTTGCAAGGCCTCTACCTATACACAAACACAGAAAAACGCACACACACAAACTAAACATCCATGCCCTGAGTGGGATTCGAAACCACGATCCCGGTTTCCAAGCTAGCGAAGACAGTACATGCCTTAGACCACTCGGCTACCGTGACCGGCCGAATAACTAATTACGATGCTGAATTTCATGCTCCTAGTATTGCAGATAAATTATTTTTCAAGCAAAAGCAGTGTCATTGTGAATTTATCGCTGAATTTAAATTTGAAAATCAAGGGACAGGACTGGAAATAATTCTTGACTGTTTCGGCCGACGTGAAAAAAAAATTTACGGTGAGATTCTTCTCTTATTTTCGTCTTATTTTCTTTCAAATCTCGAACAGACATAGTGCCTGACGGTCCTCAATCAAGTAGGGCAGAACCATAAGGCACAAGTTCGCTTCAAGGTTGCGATGTCTAGAGAACATTCTGTATAAGTGGACTGAATGTGGCGAGAGTGGCTTCGTATCCCGATATGAAATTCGACAGAGTACTGAACACTCAGACATAGAAGCAATATGGAGATCGTTACAGCTTGCACTGTTACGAATAAGTTACAAATAAAAAAGAGAAGCGCTAATTATAATATCGGAAACCTTACCCTTCTGTCATTTTTCACCCCTCATGCACCGGTCGCTTCATTCAACCCGTTCCATCAACTCCCCTTCACCGTCCAACACAAGCACCACCCTTCTCACATACAAGCACTTATTTAATGTTTGTGTCGCAAACTGTTAAATTAAATGGACCGAAAAGGCGCGATAACAGCCGAATATTCACGATTGTTCCCAGATGTATAGTTAACTGTGTTATAGAGCGATTATCAGACGTGCAGACAAAAGAAGGTAAGTGTACCCTTATCGAGAACACTTTAAATTAACAGCAGGTATTGCAATATTAATTTAAAATGTACGAATTTATCATGTTGTAATACAGTTGTAAAATATGTAGAAAATTATGTGTATGTAAAAAGTGTTACCTTTCTTGTATTTGTTAAGAATTCTATTTCAGAGCGAACACGAATCCTGGAAAATGAACTTCCTTCCGCTTTCCCTAAATTTTCCATCAATGTTTTCTGACAAAATTTTACCTGTGTGATACTCGAC